TCATGATTTGGGCTGAAAAGAAACAATAGTCGCACTTCTTAATTGGAGCAAATGTGTCCATTTTTATCCTATAGAAACGTGATTTCGACTGTAGGATTGTTGAGAGGACATCGAGCGACACCCTGGCCTTGTCAAAACCAAAATTTTCTTCGAAGACATGTCTCGGGGCATATGTACCGCCGATGAAGAGAAAGGTCAATTTTTAGCCTTTCGCAAGCTTCAAAAGTGCTGTCGGTGGATCGCAAAAGCAATCAACCGAAGCGAAAGCATGTATGAATGCCTTCGGACTTACGACTAACCAAGCCGTAAGAAAAGCCCAGGAAGACGTTGTATCCTCACCAGCCGCGAGATCCGACGCATTTTTAGGCTTGCTACACGCAAACATTTGTCCTCAAGGCTCAAACTACTGTCCTCGATGCGTTGCGTGCGCCCAAACTTCATATTTCTCCACACGAATGCAAATTTCTGCTGTCGAAATGAGACTCTGAAAACAGTTTGCCCACCGTATGAAAACTTTTGACACCCACTGTACATGAAACGCCGGTCCGGACCTCCCTAACACTCAAGCACAAAAAGACGGAGTCATCTTTGCCAGTCGACATCTCCAGTCGACATCTCCACAAGGCTGTGGAATTGAAAGCGACTGTGTTTACCGACGTAACCAAGACGGCCAAGACGATTGTCAGTACTACTGGCATGACCTCCGGCATGACGAACAAACCTTCTCCAAGCGTGTTCGTGGTGGCCATTCTTTTATGGTTTGGGAGCGGTAAATTTCTACAACGAGACTGAGCTAGCCTTCCTAGACAATCGACAAGACTCTGTGAAGTATCAAGAAACTCTGCAAACGTACCTGCTCTACGATGCGTGAATTGGCGGTGCTATTCGATTCGGCCATGACTATGCAGTGGCCTGCGAAAATCCCCGATTTGAGCCCAATCGAGAATGTTTGTGGAGTTCTAGCCCGAAATGTCTTCGTCAATGGTCGTCAGTTCGAAACTAGGGCTGAATTGAACTTACAAATTCTCAAGTCCTGGGCTGAGATTGATCAATCGTACTTGGCCAAGTTAGCTGAGGGTATGCCTACGAGGATGGCCCAAACAATCATATGCCGGGACAATTGCATTGATATATAGCCATGACAACGAAGTGTGTCTAAAATTTTTGTAGCACAAATCTTGACGCTTGCACTTTTCTCTTGACTGAGATTGCTCCATCCCGAATCCTTTTGTACCATGCCGATCGAGAACATGACTGCCTGGACTACGCATCGGCATTAACCGCTATCCTTACACATACTCGAGAATGTAAATATTTTGGAGTGTGTCTGAACTTCTCTTCAGACTGTAGCTGTCGGTATTGACAGCTATATTCAAGCTAGAGTCATGGTATGTATCATACTTGCCACATACAAATCAACCACCACGAACCCTGAGGGTGAATAATTTAGTCAAGTCCCCTCGTCAATACTTCGTTTCAATTCGGAACTTCGCGACAAATGACTTGATTCTGGCCACGATAGCCAAGTTAACGCAACGAAAAAAGTTGCCTTGATCCTGGCAGGATTCAGCAACGGCACTATGAAATTGATTGAACTGTGCAACATTGAGAACATAAACACGACATTCCAGACATGGCGAAACATGGAAAAATATTGCGCCGTCCGGGAATCGAACCCGGGGCATCCGCGTGGGAGGCGGATATTTTACCACTAAACCAACGGCGCTTGGCTGACGTTGGCATTACTATACATCATTAAAAGATGACTGGACTTCGCTGTCTAACTGGCCAACGAGATGGCGTTTCCTCAGTATCCTTAAGACACACCTCTACAACGAACATAGCAGTGCGCTCGACACACCCACCACAGCCCCAGAGAGAGCGTCAGCCATGCGGACGATGCCAGCCGATAAGGCGCCTGGCATGGAGGCTTCCCCGCGGCATTTTTCAGCTGGCGTGTGACACATTTGGCCACATCCTGGCCATCGTATTCGCCAATCAGCTCAAGAGGGCCAAGTTTGTAGCAGGGTACACGCAGAGGAAGGAGTAGGTAAAATGAAGAATGAATTGATAGGGTTATGCATAGCTCTGCTACATGAACATGGAAAGTTAAGGCGCCTCGTGGGTAGAGTCGCTAGCAACCCAAGCGACTTGTTGTGAGGTCGCCTGCTACCTTTGAATAGTCAACTTCAATGTCAATGAAGATGTTTGACATGTGCCCGGAAAACAGTACCGTAGAACTGTTACATCCTCCCCACTCAAAACGAAACCAATGGGAGTCGTGTCGTGGAGAGGTCGTGATGTGCGCGCGTGACTTGATGGAATCGGCCATCAAAATTGTTGAAATGTCGGGGGGTGCAAACAAGCGCAAGACGAGACCTCCCCCGGTTGTGAGGAAGGCGAAGTGCTTCTCGTCGACTTGACTGGCGAAGGAGAGGCGAAAACTCCTGAGCCGTTCGATGCAGTTCAAGCAGTCTCGAGTTGGATGAAGCGACTCGAAGGTCAAGCAGAACTTAAGCAGATTGCGGCTCGAGGGAAGTTCGAAGGTGCCCTACAAACGTTGGGGTCGTTGGAGGCCGTGGAGCAATTGCTGAGTGAACGCCGCGATGAAGAAGCGGCGCAGAAGGCCGAAGAGGTGGAGCGGGCTGCCTAAGAAGAGCAGCGTCGATTGCGCAAAGTTGAAGCAGCAGTGCGGGCACAAAGTGTGGAACTTCTCGGTGCTGTGACGACGACGTGGAAGTTGGAAGAGCCCGCGACGGTGGTGCCGCGGGAACACTTTTGGACGTCGGAGGATCTTGACTTCGCGCGAGTTCGGACGGACGAAGTTCCATTCGTGGACGGCGAAGCATTCGGGATAGTCGGCGTTGGTGAGGCAACGTTCGAATACGTTTGCAATGCCGCGAGCGACGTCAATGTCGACGACGAAGCCGACGATGCAGGCATACCATTGCGGGTGTTCGAAGCCAACGCGTATTTGGCAGAGTTCGGGCGAACTCATTATGACTTCGAGCGCCACATCTTGTGGATGCTGAGCGCCGTGGTCACGATGACGATGGTAGCCGCTGATGGACGAGGGTTCGCACGCTTCAAGGACCGGATGCGGGAAGGCGATCCAAGTGGAGTGCTCGACGTGGGGCACGTCGACCTGTGCGAAAGCGAGACGCTGCAGGAGTACATTACCGTGTTCGTGTACTCATTGCTGCGTCAAAATGTGCGACGGTAAAAGGATCGGCGTGTTGGTTGGCCGACGACTATGGGGACCTTGATCGGGACTTTGGGTAATTTTGCCTTGACCCGTCGATCGATTTACGGACGTTTACCCGCCGAGCTTGTCGCGCGGATCGCTGTTCGCGTAGGAATGCGGCGCGAACGCGAGGTAAGGTGATAGAATCCATCGCGCAGGTCGTTTGTCGAGAATCTAGTGGATCGACCCGTGTCGTCGATAATCACATCTTTGCAGGGAATCTGTGTTTGCGGCGGAATGGTGGCGGTGTTGAGCTTGTTAAAGGCGAGAACGATCCGTCATTTTTTCACACAGAACACCTGGCTACTGTGTGGGGACGTGTTTTCGCGTACATGGCCGGCGGCTTTACGAGCCACAAAGAAGGCGTCGATCGCATCGACTTGATCACGTGGAAGCGGCCATTGGCGAGTAACGCAATACTTCGTGCCGGGCACGAGGTCAATTTCGTGGCGTATGCCCTTGTCGACGGGTAGCCGGCAGGGAACGTCGTCGGGGAATACATCCTTGAATTCATCAAGGAGGTCGAAGAACGGGTTCGAGCGGAGAGAAGCCCACGTCTGGGACTCCGCTGGGTTGGGCAGGACAGATTCGTCTGCAGTGGACGAGGACAAAAGGTTGAGGTCTCCATCATCGCTATGCACGCGATGTCGTGCGAACTGAGGGATTTCAGGAAGGAGCGATAGCTCATCTCTGGCATTGCCAGGATGTCCGACTTGGATTGGGCAACTCGTCGAGGTTGCAAACTTGCTGAATGAACGCATCCGCAGTAAGAAGTTGCGGAGTCGAGGTAGGCGGTAATGTGACAATGCGACGCGACTGGTGAATTTGAGCCCAACGCGATTGAAGGGGCGTTGGAAGGGTCAGATTGGTATGGGAAGGTGGTGGGTCGATGGTAGTTGTAGATACAAACGGCGGTGTCTGCTGGAGGCTAGCAGACGAGGGTGCAACATCCCTGGGTGAAGTTGGCGAGGTGGGCTGCAAGGTCAAGTGTGCTGGGGCCAACAACACTGGTGCGGCATCAGCGGCGAGTTTATTACTCATCGCCGTGAGGGCAGCGGTCACGGATAACACCGAAGGCTGTGAAGCCTTATCAGCGGCGCGTCGACGAATCCACGGCTGATCAGTATTCAGCCAAACGACCTTGTGGATGGTTTTGAGTTTCCAATCAATCCATGGTTGATTGGATTCGAGCCAAACCATTCCAAGGATGAGGTCCAAACTCTCATCCAAATCGATCACAAAATACATTTCGAGCGAGTCGAAATCGTCGAAGGTAACAGGCAGCGTAACCACTAAGCGCTGCTGGTCGGAGATGCGGCCATTGGCCATCTCTACGCGAACCATGTCAGAGGAGTCTGACACGGGGAGAGAGCCAAAACGAGCAAAAGTGAAGCGGTTAGCGTAGTTTGCTGACGCTCCACAATCGATTAACACAGTGAGTCGGGTGGGAAAACCCGGCTCGGCAAGAGACAAAGTAACCATTTTGTTGGGGCGAAGCCCGACGCGGCACAGATGAAAGTATGTGTTTGAGGCTAGGTCACCCGAGTGTGATACAATGCCACACACCTAGGGGGGCTGTTGGTGCCCCAGTAGGGCGCCTCGCGCCTACTGGGTCTTGTCGTTTCCCACCTCCGGGTGATCTGATCGACCAGGTGGCCCAGTGGATCGTCTTGGGGAACGCCCTCCGTAAGAGGATTTTCGATTGCTCGGGCGGCAATCAGTTGTGTCGGATCGCGCGTCTTGTGCAGAGGAGGTGAGTGTGCGTCGAGGGGCGCGGCACTCACGCCAAAAGTGACCCTTGCGGCCGGTGTTATTGCACTTGCCGTCGTTGTTACGGGATAATACCGAGATATCCATATCCGAGGGATCTGCACAATTATGCGCTAGGGCTGAGGCGCACGATTCAGCTAGGGCGATACGAACAACCTCTTCGAACGAGGTTGGATAGGCACGTAAGAGCTGTGTACGTGCCCGACCGTGGTTGAGCCCGGCCATGACGACGTTGACACGGAACGCTTCCGATAGTGTGGAGTCGTCGTTGACATTCGCGGCCAAAAGCGAAGTTCGTGAATGTAGTCTTGCAAGGAGCGATTGCTTTGCTGCATGCGAGGAACATAGAGCGATATTGGAAATCGCTGTGTTGGGGAAGGAAGCAGAGCTTCATCGCCGAAACGAGCTCGTCAAACGTTGCAAATGAAGTGGAGTTTGTCAGGCGGATGGAGTACGCCCAGTCTTCCGCCTGATCCTTGAGATGGGAAAGGGTAAACGCCACACGTGTAGACTCGCGGGTGATGCACAGCGCATCGGCCGCGGTCTCGACTTGTACGATCCACCGGAGGAGCCTGTCAGCGTCGGAGTCAAACTTGGTGACATGAAGCTTCACTGGCTTGGCACGCGTATGGGGGGATTGTTGGGGCTGGCTGCTAGCAGTTGCAGCATCTTGGTACACTCGGAGAGTCTGTGCCTGAGCGTCCTGAAGAGACTGGCGCAGCTGGGACACAGAGGATTCCAATGTCGAACTTAGGTCGCGAAGTGTGTCCGAATAATAGTACCGCAGAACTGTTACAGCTTCCCCGCGGCATTTTTTCAGCATCGTATTCGCCTACTGTACCAGCTCGAGAGGGTCCAGTTCCTCGGCTTCCAGCGTCGCAATGCTGTTACCCTTCAATTTAATATGGGTGATCGTAGCAACCCTGGCCACTACAGGTCGTATTCGCTCTTCCAGGGGTGGTCAAAACGCTGTCGCGCGTATCAACACATTGGCGGAGGGGCGTCATTCCTCTCCGTTAACCCTGTTCAGACGGGGTCCGTGACCGGACGCAGAATCCACGACCACAGCTAATTGTAAATCGATCGAATCATGTATTTACAAAGGTTTGATTTTGGCGGGCGCCGTGTCTTGGAATCCCAAGACGTTCAGGTACGAGATCGTGTTTCAACGGGGACGGCAGGTCCACGGACATGGGCGGTGCACATAATGTGTGTGTACCACCACGCATTATGTGGATTCGGACGGCTGACACAAGTGTGGATCTCACTTAAACTACGACAATGATGTGAGTACGGACCAAGGCGTAGTAAGACGCAGTCCTCGTGCCCAGGCATGCGGGTCTCAGTTTGGTTGTGGGCGGGCGCGTTGTGAAGGGCAATGACCACGGCCTTGCCGCAGAATTCGTCTTGGAACGATGACATCGACTTGACGGCAGGTAGATGTCTTCTACAACTTCTGCGTTCTGTTCCATTCGAATGCTTCCCCGTTGCATGCGGTGTAGGATGAGGCTGTCGGTTGTCGAGACGGCGCACTGCAACTGAAGATTTGCTCCCTTTGACTGTAGAAGCACGGCGACGGCTCGTTGGCCCACTTTGGCGCGACCTTGTGTTCGCCTACTGAACCAGATTGTAGTTCGTTTCATCGAAATACACGATATAGTCACCACGCGCCATATGCATGAGCAATGTGTCAGCGAACGCTTTTTTCTTGGTTTTATGTCGTTGTTGCACGTCGAGGGTTCGACGCGGACTTGATTTACTGTGTACGTACAGCTTCCCACAGAGTTCGACTGATCGTTGAGGTTGAGATGTTGATACCAAGTTCTACATATAGCCTGCCCTGGATATAGCTTAGAGTATACTGACAGCATTCGTCGATGTACTATTCCAGACGTAAGGAGGACTCTGGGGTCATCTTGGTCAGTGACGGGCGTGCTCCACCCTGGCTTAGTCGACTGGCACGGTTGTTGTGAATCACACGTCGAGCTGTCGTCAAAGGGACACCATTGTGAGCGGCCACTGCTTTCGAATCTTTTCGGTCATGGAATGCTGCCAAGACACGAGTTTTCTCGGCTTCAGTTGGCATCTTTTGATTGTGTATGGGTAATTTTGTCGCGTGAGTTTGGCGTGCCCACCAAAAGCAAACCTCTATCAATAGATCTTTTGATCGAATTACAACTTACAGGTTGGCCACATTGATTGCAGATTATACCACTTTGAATGAAATAGTAATTCCAGGTGTACTTCGACGTTCGAAGATATTAAAACTGCCGAACCACATTGCTTGCTGGTTTGGCCACATTGAACTGGCAGTAGTGTACTGATTTCTCCCCGACTTCTAAACGGGCCAAAGTGAATAAAACTTGAGAATCGATAATATCGAATGTCGAGGTGAAATTGAAATTTCAAAAGGTTCAATGATGTTGTACCTGTATATTTTTGGTTCCTTTGAAACTTGTTTCAAGTCGACCGTTTAATAGTCGGGGGGAAATCAGTAGTATATATATGCATTTTTAAATTTCACAAAAAGCTTCGCGTATGGGTTAATGGTCAAGTGTACCTCGATTGTACAGTACAGTACATTAAACCAACTAAACTTTTTTCTTGCACTGTACCGTGCACAACTCTGCCTCCGGTTTTTGTCACTTGCCCACGACGTCTAGTTCTGCCGACCGTCGCATGACAGCCGAATTGCCTCCCAGTCGCTCTGTGACTTGTTGGTACACGGAACATAATCTGCTTTGCATGAAAAATCGCATCAGCATAACCCATGGCACTTGTCAGAAATCCAAAACGATGCCACAGAGCTGAGATACAGGGAACGATGGATATCCTTCCCCCGTGGTACTTGTGTAATATCTTGATATTTGTATAAGGTAATATTATTTCGACGTTAATTTTTGCTGAAAATTTTATTGCATTGTGCTTATTCAACTGGTGGCGGCTGCGTTTTTATTGGTCAAAACTTTGTAATTTCGACGTCGGTGAGTGCTCGCGACCAACTTGTTTCGACCAAGTGAAAAGTACTGCTAGTACATTCACAACTATTTAATACTTCCAGTGAACCAAACTGTCACTGAGAGGGAGCCATTGTGGACGAGAGATTGGATACCCCACAAGGCACTTCAACCCCATCGTCAATCCTTCGCTGTATCATGGCCATCCTCTTCTCGGCTGCGGACACCACAGATTTTTCGCGGAACCACTTGCTGGTAGGTCAGCTTGCTCGTCAGTTGGCCCCGCGTCCAAAGAGTGAATCGACTAATCTTATTGTCTCGTACAATCTTATATTATTTTGCATTTTGTATTGATGCCTGTATTGTTCAGATTCTTCCTGAGCGAGTCATACAATTTGAGCACATGCTACAGGCCAGCGTTTTCGCTGCTGGCAAACCAATGTTACATGAAATCGCGACGGGTGTTGGTGCATTTTGTGACAACAGTCTATAGCTAATCCAAATTGCGCAATGTTGTAGTAAATTGTTGTCAATGCCTGAGCAACAGGTGGGGACACTGGTTGGGACAACAAGTGCCAAAAAGAAACCAGCGGATAGATTCACGCTCCAGCATGTCGTCGATCTCCTCAAAGAGGTCATATCTGTATGTCCACACGACGCGCCTTATGGTCAAATGAGTGCACGATGGTCAGAGGTTGGCAAAAACATGCAAGCGATTCATGGGAGCAATCTCAGCGCAAACGGTTGCCGTACACGATGCGATGACCTCCTAGTGGCATTCCACAAAGACAATATGGCCTCCCTCGTTGAGGACAGCCAGCATGGCAAGCAGTAGAAGTATGTTCTTCATGATGTCACCTTGAGTGTGAAAAGTTTCGTCAGCAAAAGCATAAAGCTTCGAGAATTTCCAGCTTATCTCACTGGAGTGTTTCAAATATGAATTCTTGTAGCAAAATCACTCTAATATATGCCCCAGGTAAAATAAAGAAGGTTGAATGCAAGTTTTACTTAATCAATGATTGAGCGAAGTAATCTTCTTGATGCGATAAGATGAAAACTATATTGCACAGGTGCGTTGTTCAAGATATTTCTGAAATAGGTATATTTGATAATAGTTAAAGAGGGGTCACAGCGAATGACAGCGGTCACCATAATCGCTCAGCCAAAAGGCAATCTTAACTTTGACAACTTGTACACCTGAGGTGATCGTTTCAGGATAATACAATAACACATTAGGATAACAGCATTCTAAGTATCAATAACAAATTTATAGTTTTTGTTTGACGAAAGCAAGATCAAGTTGTATCATGTCATGTGCTTAGGCGTGGATAATATTGTCACCGATTGGCTAAAAATATTTTTAATTTCATGAGGATGATTTTGGACGTCCATAATATAAATATTCTAGAAGTATGGTCGAGTACCACGGAGGAAGGATTTCCGTCGTTCCCTGTAATGGTGGTGTATGAAGGATTCATCCAAATAGATTACCGGCCGAGGCTGCGAGGACTCAATGGCCGTGTTCATATATTGAACATATTTATCCCTAGCACTGGCAACAGCGTCAGTGAGTCTAATAGAATGGTTTCCTTTCCTTTGACCGCATCGGTACTAATTGTTGCACAGGCTTTGGAAGCCAATCAATTGATGCTCATTTCAGACATATAGGGTGTAAACGTGGACAAGTCATCGTCCAGTATGCCAGAACGATTCGACTGCGACACAGAGCGCCACGCTTCCTTTGCCCAGCCCATTGCCTGAACAAGAGGTACTTCGTACAGTTCAGTTTGACGTCCTTCCATAACTTCATCAATTTGCTCCAGAGCGTTCTGCAATTGCCGCTGCTACACCTTCGCCTTGAAGGACGCGATGATGCCAGCGTCTTGAGGTTGAAGGTAGGCTGTAGTGTACATTGGAAGCATCTTCACACAAACATGAAGATGCGCGCTCGGATTCATTAACCTTGTGAGAAGGAGAATATTTTAGAGATAATGGACAACATGCAGTTGCATTTTCCACAAGCAGTACGATGATCTTGCGATCATCCGCCACCATGCGCTCATTGAGGGAACGAACGTACGAGGTAAAGAGAGCGCCATTCATCCATGCTTTCTTAATTGATAAGTAGTTGAGCCTAACGTACTTGAAGATTGGCCACCAAAGCAGAGTGGACGAGCTTCCAATGAACAATGGATCAGTGACATCGGAGCCGTCCACATTTGTTGTCAAGGCGATTGTAATTCGCTTCTTGGATTTCTTTGTTCCTGGCAAGCGACTTCGAGTGATTGACCGGTGAGGAGACAAACAGTAGAAGAATGATGTATCATCCATGTTGTAGTCTCACTTGCGTTATAGCCACTTGTGAGGTTTGCATGTCTATTCCCCCAGTCGCAACGATCTCGAGTGATACGGTAGCTGCTTCACCGTGCTGAATTTTATTCTTAAGTCCATGTCGTCGTTGAAATTTGTGGAGCCATCCCTTTGAAATTGATATTCGTCGTATCTCAGGCAATTGTAGGTCGTCAAACACATTGATTGCCATTTTTCTTATGAGTTCCCAGTGACGCAAACACCAAGTTCTTCTCAACGAAGTACCCATTGAAGAACGAGTGCATCGACCTCGAGCAGCAGCATCGCTCGATCTACGCTTCTCGTTTTGCTGTCGGCACGTTTGCTTTCATTTGAGTGCTTTTTTAACGCAAGACCAATTGTCGATTTCGTCGGGACACGAGCCAGTTTAAATTCTTCTTTTGCCCGTAAGCGAGTTCAGAATACACTTTTGTTGGATTCTGCATGTGGTGTACATGCAGCAGGTGTCTCTCATGCAGTGATGCGCTCCTTCATCGTTGAAATTTCACAAGTGTCT